CCAAGCGGAAGCTGCTATCACTAGAGGACTACGTAGCTCAGGCGTCCGAGAGGGCTGCGCGGGCCGCTGCCAACGTCCCTGTGAAGACGGCGCCACCGCCGCCGCCGGACAGGTCGCCCGCCGAGCCACCGACCCCCTTGATGGCTTTGGTGCCCGCCGGCAAAGTAAGCCCCCTGGTCGTCCAAATGATTCGTGTCAAAATTCTATTTTACCGCAGAAATTAGACAATTCTGTCCAATCCTGCAACAGTCACACCCATTTCAGGGTAAACCTTATCTAATTCTGCAGCAACTTTTTCCCATTAAGGATCATCTCTTATGGCACGAGAAAACAGATTCTTCCTTTCACTATACTCAAGGATGGGCATGTGAGTCTCCTTTGTTCCAAAATGAACCCTATTATGAAGATCTTTAACGGAAGCAAACTCCCCATCAAAATCTTTGTGACCGAGGAGTTGCGCGACCAAATCATAGAACCACCAATCCGATTGGTTTAAGGCTTTTCTTGACAAGTAATATTTGGTTAAATTTGCTCTCTTTTTGGTTACAGTATCAGCACTAAACTTAAATCCTTTAGCGTGGAGAGTCTTAAGAATATCATCCATTATTTCCTTCTTAATGCAAACCCTATTGGCATTTAAGTTCACCTTATCCCTCTTCAAGATAAGAACTTGCAGAAGTGAAGAAATGGCCTCATCAGTCTCCAAGTTCTTGGATGATGCAGCAGTAGTTTGGGGAACATCAGGAGGTGGAGAAGAGGGAAATCGGAGAGGACCTCCATTGAACAGAACTTCCTCGAGGCAGCGTATATCGTTTTCGCACTTCTCATGGACCTGGAAAAGAAAACAAACAAAAACAGGAACAATATAGCAATGAATCATCATGTACCACACAGGGAAAAAACCTTACCTGTAGATGAACACTACTTTTATTCTCTTCGCCGATTTCCCCCCAGGCAACAATGGGCTCTGAGCAGAGCTCAAGCTTTAAAAGCTCAGAATTCAAGAATTCAACGAAGTCTTTCTGTTGAAAAGATTAAAGCTTTGAGCAGGAAGCATAGATATTGGCATTAAAACGTACAATAAGAGGAAACTTACAACTGAAGCCACTGAAGTCGATGTGATGCACAGCAGCCCTTCTGTTACTGCTGACTTTGAGCTCTGCCCTGCAATCCAAAAGACAGGTGTACAGGTGAGTCTTCAAATTGAGAACAGAAGCATGACAGGTGTTCGGAGAAATTTACCTTGAGGGGGGGTCTGGTGGTGCAACGACCGTACTTGAAGGGGACACGACAGAACTGGCAGTCTGCACCAACACAGCTGGAGCAATAGAGGCCACATGAGGAACCGGTTTTGCCATGGGTGTGATTAGGGCTGTCATAATCACCTGATCAGGAGATACCTCTCCAGGAGCACCTTGTCCAGGAGACACCTCTTCAGGTGACAACTGCTCAGGAGGTAACATATCTGAAGTCGGTGCAATTGTAACGGTAGGGGCTTGAGTTTGAGCTGCTGATATGACAAAGAAGTGATAGAATTTCACACTTGAATACAGCTTCGTAGCAGCAGAAGACATAGCAAATTCAGGTGTTCTCTTACCCGCTAAATGAGCAGAAACTTGATCCAACGAAAAATTATAAAATTTCATGGAGCTTCCATCCGGTTGTACCACGATGCCTCATGAATTCTTTTATCCAGTATTGGATAAGACTGGCATCCTGCCGTGCTGATAGCATTTGAAAAACGGGTAACTGCTGGTCATTTGCTTGTATAACACCCTCGTAAAAAAAAATGTCAGGACTTTTAAGCCCAGTACAGGTTTCTACTTTCCGTACAAGAGATCCTGTTGAATCAATGGCCATAACTATGTAACATGTTGCAGAAAACTTCTTGTACACTTGAAGCGACTTGAAGTTGGGCATGTGAGCAGTTCTCCGCGAACGGGTCACTTTTGGCTTTTCAAACTTTGAAAAAAAATGTCCGATTTTCTCCGGATTTTTTTTGATGAAGTTGTTAAGTACTTCTCCCAGAGGCAGGATCTCAACTAAACGAGCTCCCAACCCAATAATATAGGAGATATAGAGACTTTTAGTTTTTAGCTGGTTACGGATCTTACAAGCACCGTAAATTTGGTTACGGATCTTACAAACACCGCAAATTTGGTTACGGATCCCTCAAGCACCGGTGCCAGCAGTGGGCGGGAGCGCCTGGTAGGTAGGCAGCCCCCTCGGCACGCGTGTGTTGTCCGAGGATGTTGCCTACCTCACGTTTCGCAGGCGTTGGGCAGTTCGCAGTACCGGGTCTAACTGTGAATACGCAGCAGTGTTGCGGGTTTGCCCACTCTTTACACCGTAAGGGGCCATGGCTCCTGCGGCCATATTGAGTATGCAATCCCGCAACACTGCTGCGTATTCACAGTTACACCCGTACAAAAGATGCTGCTTTCAACTCCCTTCTCCTTCTTGAATGAATATTTTCTCTTTAAAGCTTAAATGATTTGTTAAAATCGACTGGAGAAACCCGTGAATAGTGCACAGCTACTACAACTTCAGTAGAGGTAGAGCAAGGTGTGAAAAAATAGAGAATGAAGTTTAAATTGAGAAATATAATGACAGTAATAAAATACATGGAAAAACAAAATTAAACAAGACTGTGGCTGTCAACAACTAAAGATATCACATTTAGTTCACAGAAAAATTAACACTTATCACTTTTTCAGTCTTAACAATTAAAATAGTATGTACAATTTAAAATAATAGGAAAAAC